TCAAGAATTTTGAATTTTGTTTTAAATTTTATGAATAACATAACCTCCAAGTTTTGCAATCCATACTTTTCCCTATCACATATTGCAGGTGTATTTAATGTCTGACCATTGTTAACAATAAATATATTGTTTTTATAATAAGATGATATACTATCTGCAAGTTTGCTTAATAATAATGTAGCAGAATCTTCATATTCATCACCACAATTTGAAATTGTCTTACTGTGAATTACTACATTCCCAAAATAATTAACGTAAGACTAGTTTAAACTTTTAGAACAAATTTTAAGAAGAGTTTTAAATTGCTCAATAATTTAATTGCCATAAAAAGAGCCTCCCATAATCTTGCAAAACACATTTTTTATTAGTGAAAACAAAACTCGATGTTAAAGTTTAATTTAAAATTGTTATCATTCTCAGCAGCTATATTGTTGATAAGTTTTTTTAGATTTATGCAATTTTTAAAACTTTCAAAAGTACTCATCTTCTAAAATAGATTCAGCATAATTTTCAAGTTCGTGATCTTTTACAAAAGTTTCCAAAAGCATCACAAATATTATTACAGTTTCCTCCTTCTACAGCTATTGTATATTATGTTGTGAATATTATTATGTGCACGGTCAATGTCACGTGATTGCATTTTTAACTTAATATATATTTGTTACGCAAAGTTCCGAGTTTCCAAACCAGTTTAAGTCTATTAACTATGATTATCGCGGACCATTCTTATGGAATAAAATAGTTTTAAAAAGTTTTACTGAGGATTTTATTATTCAAAGTAACTACTTTTCTTTTAAACAAAAGTTTAAAGAACTCATTTTTACAATCGATGATTTAACAATATACTTCTGATATTTTTTGTGATCTTTATTTTCACCATTTATTTAAACATGAACTTATAAAAAGTATATGCGTATCCTTAACAACTATAATTTACATATATAATAGATATAACGCATCTTGTATTTATTATGGAGTATTTTAAATTTCTTACTTTTGTTAACTTATTTTTATTTTTTAATCTTGTAATTATCTTTTAAAACTAAACACGAACATTTCTTAGCGGTACTCGACGACAAGACCGTATGGTCTTCTACGAGTCCCCGCGTTCTTTTATTTTCTAATAACGACCATTATATTTATATATAAATTTATTATTATATATTTGTATTTGAAATATTGTAACGAAATGCTTATTTTACATGTAATAAAAAGAACGGAAAAAAAAAAAAAAAAAAAAAAAAGAAAAAAAGTATATTATTAAATTAAAAGCGTTTAAAAAATAAACATTTAATATAAGTAGTATATATAAACGACTTATTTTTAGCATCTAAAAAATTATATCTTATATTGTTTGCTGACGATTTCAATCTGTTTTATTCACACAGTGATATAAAAATTCTCTTTAAAATTTTTAATGAAGAATTATCTAAAGTAAATAAATGGTTTATAAGTAACCGCCTTTCACTAAATGTAGATAAAACTAAATTCATCCTGTTCCACAAACCAAATAAAGTTGATAATGTTCCACTTAAACTGCCAAATCTTATATTCAATAAAACAGATGTAAAAAGGGAATCTACTGTTAACTTTTTAGGCGTAATTCTTGATGAAAATTTGTCATGGGAGTTTCACATCCAATCTATTAAAAGTAAAATCTCTTATAATATTTCCGTACTTTATAAAACAAAACCATTTTTAAACGCAAAAGCTCTAATGAAAATTTATTTTTCATTTATTCACAGCTATCTTTCTTACTGCAACATTGCATGGGGAAGTAAGAATTACGGAAAACTCAAAAAACTTTATAGTAAAGAAAAGCATGCTTGTAGGATTGTATTTGGGGCAAACAGAACTGTTTATTGCGAACCACTATTAAACCGTCTCAAGGGCTTAAACATTTATAAACTAAACATTTACCAAACATTACTTTTCATGTTTAAAATGAAACATGGAATATCTTCAATCTTATTTTAGCGAAATATCTCATAAGTATCCAACAAAGTTTTCAGAGGATAACTTTATTGTTCCGAGAATAAATTTAAAAATAAGCTCTTATCAAATTAAATATCGAGGACCTTTTTTATGGAAAAATTTTATTAAAAAATTTAATAAAGAACACTACTCTTTAGAAAAATTTAAAACAGTTTGTAAAAGAATCTTACTTCAATTAGATTTTAATTCAATAGACTTTAAGTATTTTTTTTAAAAGGAAATTTTAAAATAGAAACAAACGCTCCCATTATCATTAAATATATTTTGCTATATGTATCAAATATATTTGTATTAGTATACAAAACTGTCTTTACTTTTAAATTTTAATATAAATGTCATTTTATTATTTGACAAAAGTTATGTAATCTTTAACGTTTTTTTGTATATTTTATTTATATTTGTTTATAAACACGGGCAATTTGTAAACAGGGCTCGGCGATAAGACAGTCATTGTCTTCTTCTTGCTCCGGCCAATTTTTATAAATGTAATGCCTATATTGTAAATATATGAAACGGCAAAAAAAAAAAAAAAAAAAAAAAAAAAAAAGTATTGTTTCATAATTAGGAATGCCGGAAGGGTCTAAGGGCCGGGGTGGCAAACCAAAACACAAGGACACTGGCCAAAATATTAACACAATATTTAACTATGTATTAACTATCTAACTATGTATTAACTATATAACTTATATTATAAATAAGTATTATAAATAAACTAATATAAATAATCTAATATAAATAAACCTTTTAATTAATCCAACCATTCTCCAAAAAATACACTAAAAATGTCACTTTGTTCACTACTTTTACTATTACAAATTGCGTGTACAATGCAGTTATTACTAAATGTTATAACATGCTATTAAACAGTCTACTAAATAAATCAACTGTTTCTTAGCTACTTTCTAGATGTCAATAGTACATTCTTAGTTTTACAAAGTTTACAAGAATGATTTCAAGTGTATTTGGCGAAATAATTCATTCTACTGTAATTCAATTTGACGAACTGTTTGGCAATTGTTTTAATTTTAGTTTTATCGATTTGCTTTTTGTGTATCTGAGCAAACATGATGTTGTTCAGGTGATTGCCTCCAGTTTGTGACCTAACCCATGTTTTTACTCTCTTTATTACACTAAATTTTCTTTCACATGATGATGTTGATAGAGGAATGGTGTAGCAAAGCTTCATTAATTTATGTGTTTGTTTATTGGCGACTTTTGCCGCTGGCATGGCATTGAAAATATCATTCAATTGTTACCACTCTGGAAACCCTCTGTTTTTTGATTAATGCAATAGCATTGTACAGGTTAATAATTGTTGATAGCCCCTTCAACTCAACTTTTAGTTCCAAAATGTCAATATCATTAAAAAATGACATTCCAAATAAGAACGGTAGGGAATCTTGTTTATTTGCCGATGAAATCAAAACTTTTTCTATATTTTTTACAGCTATTAATCCATCCTATTCTAACCTCTCACTTAAACTGTGTGAATAGCATCAATTGCTTCAAAATAAGATTTCCTTTGTTTTTACTCTGATGTGATAAGGCCAATTATTGCACCGCCCAATGTAAGCTTCTCAGTAATTACTGAATCGCGTAATATTTTAGGTAATACTCTTTGTCTCTGCGTACCTTCGGTTTCAGACTCATTGTCTTGCTTGATTCCAGGTATTTTTTTGTCGCCTTTAAAAGTTTATTAAATTCCTTATCTGATCTAAGTTCTGCAAATCTCTGAGACGCATTTCGAATACAGAATAATGCAACATCACCTGTCATAATAATTTCTTGTAACTGCTTCGATAGATTTTGTAGAATAGCAAAAAATTCAAAAGCGATTTGCAGTTCAAAAAGTGTTTTTACTGATGAAAGCTGAGATAATAAACCTTTAATTTGCGCTCTTGTTTTTGCAGCAATAGTCCTGTCATTCTGAAGACTGTTCAATATTGTACGGAGTTCTGCAATCTTCTCCAACGCCACTTGCATTGTTTTTGTTCGTGTTGTCCATCGAGTCATTGACACACACTGTAATTGCAATATTCTGTATTCATCTGATTCAGACTCATGGAATATATCCTTTTAAATTTATTCGAAAAAGGCAACTCACTTTGGATATGCCCCAATATTTGCATAAATTGACTGGACAATGCTGAGAGAATCTGATAGTAGTGATGATATTGCATATGTATCCTTGACAATCAGCTCGTTGCAATGTGCCATGCAATGAAAATATTGTACTTGCTGTCCAAAAATATTTTTTAGTTTCGTTTTTATTCAAAAATCAATTAAAACCACTGCGATAATAATTTACTGCATATAAATTTACCCAACTTGTACTGATTCATGTTATCACATCATAAAGTCGATTCAAAAAATATAAAGCAACTTTAACATCACTGCTTACATCTTAGAAATCTTTAATTACGCTCATATTACCCTATATTAACTTTTAATATTATAAATAATATTTATAACAATAAAAGTATATACAGAAACTTTTATTTATTAAATGGTTGATTAGTTTTCAATGTCTAGTGCGATTTTTGAAGCTTGCTTTCAAAATGAGCAAAATAAGTTTCCCAATCATGTTAGTTTGTATAATTTGTGTAAATGTTATACAACAAATCTTTCTTAATTTTCTTAGAAATTTGGAATCGCAACATCTTTTAATGAATTCTTTTATTTTGAAAAGTATCAACTCCATTTTTTAAAAGAATTACAATAACTAATTGTTTGATGCACAAGGGGATTAACTCATTTATTTTAATGTTTGTTTGCAACGTTCGTAATGCCTTAAATAAAGGTAAATAAAAAAAAAATTTACAGGTAACTTACTGCTGGTATATTAAACTTCTAATATTACTATTGAATATTACAACTGTAATTTTGTTGAATATTACAACTATTGACATTAAACATGAAACCCTAACGAAAAAAATGATCGACATCAAAAAAAATTAATGGCGCATTTAACAGTATATCTATTTAAAGCAATAACGAAAGAAATATTAGCAACAATTAGTTTACAATCTAGTTCATTTCGTAATTTTTTAAATTTACATGCGTTCATTCCTTATTAAGCATTTCTGCTGTACATTTTTATAATTTATTTTTTATTGACCTCGATATTCAATGTTTATAATTATATAGTGGAAAGAAAAAAAAAAAAAGGGAACCAGTAATTTCAACTTTATATCAACTTTTTTAAAAACTATAACATGAAAATGTAATTTTTATGTTACTAAAAGACAGTCACTTAGCATGATATTATTTATAATTAATTGTATCTATTTAAAAACACAAATTTAAATATACACACAAAAAGATATAATATGTTTGTACACCTATGGCTATAGTATTAACAAATCAAGTAGCTCCATGATGTCTAGAACCATCAAATCTAAAAAAAAAAATATCCCACATTAATGACCGAAAAATAAATTTAATAATAAATAACTTGTTTTACTCATGTGTTTTAGACGTTTAAAAAATGTATTTATGTTTTTGAACGATTTGTGCCCACTGGGTTAGGTAATATACAAAGACCAAATACGCTAAGAAAATGCAATATTATTTGACTTTAAGAAAAAAGAATCACTATCACCACTATCATTTAAGAATGTTTTACAAAGTAACATGAATCTTATTTTACTTTGGTAACTGTTTTGTGAGTGCTATAGTAAAAAAAAACAATTGTGTAACCTCTAGTCAAGAAATCATATATAGAGATCCTACATGATTTTAAACTAAGAACTAACAAAAACTTTTTTTTTCAATTAATTGAGTGTCAAACCTCGCATTTTTTTCTGCTCCAAAATCCTGTGAGATTTTTGACTTTTTGTGTCCACGTAATAAGCTTAAACTAAAACATTTCTATGGTAACACATCCTTAAAATAAACTTAAAACAACATATTGTGTATCAAAAAATTTTTAACTTTTTTGATACACAAAATGACTATGTTCGATGTGAGATTAGATAAATATAATACATAAAATACATAAATATAATACATAAAAGATTTAGCACATTTAATCATTCTAAAATGAAGATATTTGTGCTTAACGTATGCAAAAACAAAAGTTTCAGCCGTTTCAATATTACTTATTGAGAAAAACAAAAGTTTCAGCCGTTTCAATATTACTTATTGAGAAAAATTGCTTACTATCTAACTAGTTTAATATACAAGGGTTAAAAAGGGCTGAGGGGCGTTTTACAGATAAGATGGCGAGATGTTTTTGTTGTTGCTGTTGCTACAACCAATACACCTCAACTAATAACTCCAAAATACAAATCTTGTCGAATAAGTCCACTGCAGAGTGAAATAATTTTATAAAAAAAAAAAATCTAAGAGTCTTTTTTTATTAAGTCAAAAACTGGGTGTTAAAGTCGCTGTTTTGTATTATAAAAATATAAAGTTCAAATTAACTGCATGATATCACGTATATCTAGTTATTAAAATGCAGGATTTAGAAACTTCTTACAAAGAAGAACAATTAAAAACTGTTTATTAAATCTAAACAAAACTGGTTTAACTATGTGTAAAATGCGAAACATTTGTTCACCTATTTTTTCTTTAAAATTAATTTGCTTACCTTGGAAAACCAGGACGAATGAGATGGCCAAGCTAAAAATAAAAAACTATTTCTTCACAACATGTATGCTACTAGTTTACATGTGTAATTGTAGACATTTAATCTTATTTGATGATTATGATATAGAACTAAACTTTTTTTTTTACAAACAATAACAAATTCACACCTAACAAGGTTGCAAGCAAATAATAAGTTGGGAGCTAACAAGACTGAAAATAACCAAAATGTTTGGAGTAAATAAGACTGTAAGCAACCAATAAGTTTGGAGTTAACAAGACTGTAAGCAACCAATAAGTTTGAATTTTTTATTTATTGTTTTTTCTTTCAAGTTTGAAGCTACTTTCTTGGCTACCTCTATTTTCACATCCTGCAGCTGCAGGCCTAATAAACCCATCATTACAAAGGCATTTTAATAAAAACTTTTATAATGATAATTAAAAGACTGAATACTTAATACTATAGGTCACAGCAGTCTCTAGAGATTTTAAAAATATTTCCATAAATTAGAAAAACAAAGTTTAAATAAACACTTGCAATTAGTATTGATACTACATAGTACTTTACTGACTGAAGATGGTAAGGGTATGCAGATTTTATTTTAGACGAATGGACCTTAGAACAAAAAGAAACCTAAGAATTAGACAACACCAGAAACTGAGTAAAAGCTTTAGAGAAAAGAAATTAAAGAACAATATCCACTGAAATGATTTAAATAAGTGCTTAAGATTTCTCGATGTTTTTTAATTTTCGAGAAATGAGAAATTGAGAATGAGCTCGAGAATTCTCGAGAAATTTTGAGAAATGTCAAAATCGTAATTTTTTTTCAAATTTTAATATCATTTATGTTCATAAAATGTATAAGGACAAACATTGGATTAAAAAAACAGCAGAGTAACAAATATAAAAGTCAATTTATTAATATAAGAAAAAAATATGACGAAAAAAAGATGTGTAACAAGTTTTTTTTTATTGTTTTTGAAGTAATATTTTAAAAAACATAATGCATTCAATGACGTGTTTGATAATCTATTTCTTTTTTTTTCTAACAAAATCATTCACAGTCGAGAAATTACGTTCATTTTGCGTTGAAGTTGGTTTTATTGTAGATCTTTAATATTTTCCAAATTTTGTGACCTTATTCCAGTTGTTTGGAATATGGTGCATTCTTTTTTAAGTGTCTGATAAAGATTCTGGTTATCATTATCGCAACGTTGGAATGGCATAATTTCTTTTGTTGTATTTGCTAAATTTAGTTGTTCTTCAAGTGATAGCTCAGTGTCGACATTGCTGCTAGTGGAGGTGTCTTCAGTTAGAACTTTTTCGGAATCGGATGACCCATACAATCTATCAAATATTTCTCTAGCAGTTTTATAAATATCATTTTTGACGAAGATTTAAAAAAAGAAGCATATTTTTCATCATTTGTTGGGTTATTTTAAAATTTGTATAAAGATACAACATTATCATTTTTCCTTTTACTTATTTCTTCTTTTATATTGTTTAAGAATTCTCTACTTATTTTGTTCTTTCTACAATCTTCCTCTAATTTATTAAATAAAAATTTTAAGGCTCCTTCAGCCGTTAATAATGTTGCATCAGCTCGACTTAAAGCTTCTACAGTTATTCGTGTTGGTTCTAATACAGCTAATAGAATTTCGGGCATTTGTATGCAACTATCTTTCCACAAATGGCTCAAATTTAATTCACTTAATGCCATTTGCACACAGTTTTTGATTTTTAAGAGCCGTTTCACCATTATTTCAATAGTATTCCAGCGTGTTTTACAGTCTAGTAGCAAAGCCAATTCTTTTTGTTCTTGGTCTTTTACATATTTTTGTAGAACACCATTTTTCACTGGAGAATTTTTAAAGAGTTTTACAATTTTTCGTATTACTACAATTGCATCTTTAATTTAGGATTTAAGATGAAAGTTTTTGCTACGTAACACATCAATTTCAAAATCAAAGTCATCTTCTGTACTTCCAATGCTAGCATCACCGTCGCTATCTACAGTCTCATGCTCGTCTACGGATTTATTTATTTCATTTTTCGGTTCAGCGTAAAAACTTTTCAAAACTGCTAGGTGTATGCCATGATTGTAGCATAATTGCTGCAAGGCAGGCGATAATCTACCAAATTTCTTCATAACTGCAGCACCATCGCTCATAACAGCTACAATATCTTCTTGTAAAGATAGACCAAACTCTTCTAATTTTTGTGACAGTATTTCCAAAGTTATTTCTGATGTACTTCGATAAAACTTCCTTCGATAAAAATCAAATGAATTATTTTCATTATTTCTGTATAAATGAACACCCATGAATCTACGATTTTTAACGCTTGTCCATTCGTAAATAGATACGCTGAACTTTCTTTCTTCGTCCTTTAGTTTCTTTATAATCTGTACTATCTCTTCTTTCTTGCTATGGTAAAATTCCACCATTAATTGTCTCACCTCAGAAGGATTTTGAGGTAATCCCCTGGCGGTCTTACTTTGCCGTATAAATTCACTTTTAGTAATTTTATTGAACGATATACCGTCCTCAGCAGCCAATTTCGCCAGGGTTCAATTCAGCCAGGGTTGGTCGTTTTACAAATTTTAAAATAGTTTCATTAGTTAGATTTTCAACTTTATTCCGTTTATTTTGATGAGACGTAGAACTTTCTAATACGCGAGTGTATTTGTGGACATTTTCAAGATGTCTCCGCAGACCAATCGTTGCTGAACTTTTGCATAATAATTTTCTTGTACATACATTGCAATGTGCCTCATCGTTGTTTATTTTAAAATATGACTTAACATTTTTGTAAGTCTTGCCGTTGTCGTTGTTGCTCATTTTTTCTATAAAAACTAGAATAAATAAATAAATTAAAAAAAAAATTACAAATAACTTTTTGTAAGATCGTTTGAAAGAATCAGACAAATAACAAATTTCTTTAAAAATTCAATCTTTCTTTTCTTATATAAAATATAAAATATTGCAATAAATTATTACTTGAATTATTAGTATTTTATGTAAAAAACAGAATGCATAATAATAGACTTTCTACAATACAGCAGTCAGATGCAGTTTACATCTGCCCAAGATGAACATATAATTTTGACAATACTTCTAGCCTTTATTCAACTATTCAACTAAGAGTAATATGACAGGAAAGTTTTTTAAATTAGCTTTTTTTTTAAATTAGTTTTTTTTTAAAGTTTTTTTTTAAATTAGTTTTTTAAGTTAGCTTCCACTAACCTAAATCTTAAGTAATTCCAAGAATTCTAGAAGGCAGCAGGGTATGTGAAACATTTTACTGAAATACATGTTAAAACAAATGCTATATATATACTGTATAAATACTATGTAAATACTAATATAAAATTTGATCTCAATAAAAAGGCAGCGTATAACTATTTTTTAAATATATTTTGATATAACAATATATTAACGATATTTCACTGACCTATTGTGGTCAGCGTCATCAGGTAATGATATAAATATATACATATATATATATATATATATATATATATATATATATATATATATATATATATATATATATATATATATATATATATATATATATATATATATATATATATTAGGGTTATGACTTTTTATTAACCCATGCTCCTGTACTGTAGTTTGATGAACTTTTACCTAAAAAGCATGAAATGAACTATTATTTGCATATCTTTTCAAAAAAGTTCATCACGCCATTAAAAAATCGATTTCGACATAAGTACTACTATGTATTCAAATGTATTTAGAATGTCATAGTCATGTAATACAATAAATTTTTAATCCAACAATAACTCAATAAATTATCAATGACCATTGACCTTGCTCTTACTTGTTGCACGGAAGGAATCGAAGGTGCAATTTGTCTTTAATATTGCATGATGAATAAATTTCCTCCATTACTTAGATTGCACGCTCTGCGCATTGATTATTTCTGGGTATTTGTAGTATGGATGGCTTTCGCTTCCAGTAATTTTTCAAAGAGCTCAAAGCCTTTTTGTATAGATTCAGTATCTCAGCCAAGTTATTAAAGTCGTTTTTGTTGTACAGTTGGTCTGTAAACCAATGGTCTGTCCAGCCATACAATATAAATCGACTCTCTGCAGACTTGACCTTGTTGAAGAAATTAAAATAAAGGTCAGGATTGCTAGTATAGCTCTGGAGTTGGGTATTTTCTAAAACCTGATCAATGGAAAATGTCCCTTTTCCATTGATCAGGTTTTAGAAAATTTTTCTTTTGAAACACTCGAGTGAGATTTTTAATTTTTCTTTCGAAACACTCGAGTGAGATGAAACAAAGATTTCATATCATCTTTCCAGCCTGATGTTTCAAGAATTACTTCTGCTCCATTTTTAAACTGTGCTTTCAGTTGTTCGTACTCCTTCAACAGTTGAGATACAAGTGGATATAAAATGTTTGATATTTGATTGTTTTTTTCGACCATTTTATAATCCATTCTGTTGATGTGCTTGCTATCAAAGTATAAGGACCAACTTTTCAATTATTTCTTTCTTGATTGCCTTTTTGATTATTGACTTGTGAGAATAGCTGCTGACTGACATGGAGTTGGGATGTCAATGCCTTCACGAGCCAATTACTTGCATGTTAACAGCTTTGTTTGTTGATACTCTTGTAGAGGTCATCAAGTTGACTTCAATTTTGCTTTTATGATGTTTTCTGCTTGGTGTAGTAGTTATCTCATCTTCTTATTCTTTGTTTTCATATTCACTGTCGTCAGCTTCAGATTCGGAATCACTAAATCCAGGATAGTAAGATGATGAGTTGGATGACTTAATAGAAAGTTTTTGTCTTTTAGAGGGATGGATTATTCCTTTGCTTTCCACTTGGAGATGGTACAATTGCTAATCCTCGAAAGTTAACCATGTTCCATCCACTTTAGTAATATCAAAAATTTCATCAAGGGGTTCGTAGCTTGACACATTCATCATAACATTTCAGTATTTTATCAAGCTTTGCTTGTATAACTTGATCAGATACATGAGGAAAATTCAGTTTATTCTTCCACAACTTGGTGACTTCTTTGGAAATTTCCGCTATTCGCTTCTTTCTTCCTTTGATTTTTGGTCCAAGGAAATGGTAGCGTTCGATAATTTGCTTTTGGAGAGACATTCTGCACTTTTCTTTCAGTGAATATTCTTCTAAAGGGACCATTTTCCTTTTTTATGAGAGTCTTTAAATTTTACCAGATTATTGGTCCAGACATTCTTGTTCTCCTGAATGCTACTATCGCTAGGCTTGTACGACGCCATGTGTTGCTTCTGTAATAACTATAAAATTTGATGAGCAGTAGTTATACATAGTCTAAAATGTTCTAGAATATTCCAGAATGCTCTAAATTGTTCTAGAATGTTCCAAAACATTTTAAATTGTTCTAGAATGTTCTAAATTGTTTTAGAATGTTTTAGAATGTTTTAAATTGTTCTAGAATGTTCTAAAGTTTTCTAAAATATTCTGTTATTTTCCATAATGCTCTAAAGTTCTAATTTATACAAGTTTTAATTAATTTGCAGAAAAACTACACAAATTAGTAGTAGCAGTAACATGATTAAATAAATTACGAAACATAATTTGAATTGCAGTGTGATCTTTTTTTACAACCGATAGGAATTAAACATGTTTTCAATGTTTTCTAATAAAAGTTCATCGATTTATGACACAAAAAATTAATTTTTTTCAGAAAGTCAAAAAGTCATAACCCTAATATATATATACATATATATATATATATATATATATATATATATATATATATATATATATATATATATATATATATATATATATATATATATATATATATATATATATATATATATATATATTATAAATATATATTTTTTTGTATATATGTATATACAAATATATATATACATACATATTC